ATCTGCACTCGGAGCTGACGACGACGTGGCTGAGGACGAGGAAGCGAGCCGTGCTGACGGCGACGAGGAAGCGAGCCGTGCTGACGGCGACGAGGCTGAGGAAGGTGGCGCGCAGGGCGGCACCGCTGAGGATGTGTTTCCTGAGGGCGTACCTGGTGGCGACGACGACGACGGTGTCGAGTACTGGTCACGTGACGGGCTCCCCGAGGAACTGCCGATACCTTCCTTTCCACCAGCTAACCGCAAGCGACCCCACCCGTCTACCCAGAACCGTGATGCCCGCCCCCCCTCTCTCAGGCACAAGATCAGCGATCACAAGCGCAAAGGCTACACCGCTGCGGAGAAGTTGAAGTACGTCGCGATGCTGGATGTGGCGAAGTCGGTGCGCGCACTAGCTCGGGAGTGTGGGATTCACCGGAAGTGTCTCGCCAACTGGAAGGTGGCAGCGGGGTTTCTCAAAGAAGCACACTCCGGGCGGAAGCGCATGCACGGTCACGGGCGGGCCTCGTGGTACCGCTCCATGGAGTTGAAGGTGTACGAGCTGCTCCTGGACTGGCGCCGCAAAGGAACCGCCGTGTCGGTCGGCCGTCTGCGGGAGTGGTCGAGGGAGTTCATGAAGATCCTCTACCCGGACGTCAAGTGGAGCGGGAGTCAGAGATGGTCGGAGCGGTTTCGGAAGCGGTGGAATCTGAGCGTCCGAATGAAGACGCGGGTTGCTCAGAAAACAGCCGCTCGTAAGATTACGCCCCTTGCTTTTATGTCTAAGTTTCAGGTTCACTTACTAAACTGCCGTCTATCCCGCCCGCTTTCCCCCGTCTCACAGATCTTGCGGAGCAGTGCCAGAAATTCTGGCGTTTTGTCCGACACATGCGTCGCGCGCGCGGCATCGAGCCATGCTGGATCCTCAGCGCTGACCAGACGCCGCTCTGGCTGGAGATGCCCGCCACCACGACCGTGGATCAGACGGGCGTACGGTCGGTGCCCATCCGGAGTGCAGGTTACCAGAAGGAGCGTGTGACCGTGATGCTGGCGTGCACGGCGGACGGGGCGAAGCTCAAGCCGTGGGTATTTTTCAAGCGGAAGACGCTGCCGAAGGGCAACTTTCCTCCTGGTAATAAGTAGCAACTGCCGCTGTCTTACCGTATCGTTTCTCATGCCGCGCTAAGTTTAAGTGCCATTTCTGTGTGCAGATGTGGTCGTGGCTTGCCACGAGAACGGGTGGATGAACGCAGAAGGCGTCATCCGCTGGCTTGAGGAGTGTGTCAAGCCCTTCTTGCAGCCCCGATTTGGCAGGTGTGCGAAGAGCTCTATGCTCGTGATGGATTCCTACGGCGGCCACCTTACCGAGGGGGTGAAGGAGAAGCTCCGCGAGATCAACTGCGTGCTTGCTGTCATCCCGTCGGGTTGTACGGGTGAGGTTCAGCCACTCGACGTCTCCATCAACAAGAGCTTCAAAGCATCTGTTCGTCAGCAGTACCAGAAGTGGTTTCAGGAGGAGGGCCAAGAGCAACTGACACCTGCAGGTACGTTGTTTCCGTTAAACACGCAGGTTTATCCCCCTTTCACCCTTGGTCACTGACATGGCTTTCCCGGGTGTCTCTGTTGCGGTGCAGGGAATCTGAAGAAGCCCCCCCCAGAAGTGGTCCTTCGATGGATTTCACAAGCCTGGAAAGCAGTACCCTCCGACCTCGTCAAGCGCGCCTTCCTCATCTGCGGCATTAGCAACGCGCTTGACGGCAGTGAGGACCACCTCGCCATGGCGCACAGGCGGAGCCAAATGACGGCGGAAGTGGATGTAGACGACGGCATCATCGCCGACGGATTCTTCGGCAACAACTGCCAGGAGCCCGAGTCTGACGAGGAGTAGTTCCGGTAGAATAGCAGATTAAGTCTAAAATTGTGTACCTAGGTAGAATAGCAGATTAAGTCTAAAATTGTACTAACTTGTAGTATTCGTTGAAGATAACGATGTTATAGTTGTTGTTTGCTTTTGTTGTGGTGGTAAAAAAAGTGTGAATATTGAGGGTGGCGCTTATAATAAGGAAGGGTACAAAAGGGGTGGCGCTTATAATCGAGGATCGGCCATAAGCGCCATGCTCCAGATAGAAGCGCCGGCGCCTGTAATAGGCCGGCGCTTATATCCGGGGCCATACGGTAATATCGATACCCATTATAGGTGCCGGAATTGTGGTTCGTACACCTAACCACTATTATTTTCTAGGGGAAACCCAACCCATTAATCTTGCGTTTCAAAGTTACCCTGCACGTTTTCGACTATTTCAGTTCGACACTTAGATGACTGGGGCTATGAATGATGCCTAATGCTCGAAGTTTAAACTCATGCGAATCTGAATCCATAGCGCAATTCTACAACACTCTCTTCAGGGATCTGGAACAGACTCTCGCTAAAATTTACTGATGCCCCACACAACCCTCGGTCAAAGATTTAGAAAGGGTGCATACCCCACTTGTGCAAGTGGGGTTGACAATAGACCGAAAGAAAATAACGTTGGTTAGATGTAATTGATTCAGGTTTATTGAACAACATTGGAAAATGATGTGGCAACGTTTAACGGGAATAGTTAAGTCTCATGATTTTCATTTCATTGTTGAAATGTTTATAAATCAACAATAAAAACAAGATGGAGATGATAATGCTAACAATAGTCATATTTTATGCTAAGTGGATGTTATAAGCAGGAATATGAGTTCATATACAGCGTTGTAACATAGACTCCTGCACTTTTAGTTGTAACGGAGCCATTCACTTTGAAATGAAACAGGGTGAAGGAAGAATTTGGTGACTGGGCATTCTTCTCGATTCTGGGGCCCAGAAGTCCCTGTGGGGCTGGGGAATGAGCAAATCCTACGGCGCACTTTCCCCTTCAAATGAAAATCGACGGAGATCGCTTTACATCGGCGAGTGCCTTGGGGCACGCTTGGTGCCACCGTGGAATCAAACCATTGGTTGCACCGATCGTCGCGACATCTTCACGCGGATAATGTCCGACATCTCCATCGCCCCGGGATTCCCACATCTCGAAGTTGCATCAGATTCTGCGCTGGTGCAGCCTCTCTGAAACCCCATTTCTCCTCCACGAGTGTGACTGGTTTGCAAGTGTACACTTCGCACACCTGCACTCCACGCACATCTGACACCATGGCCGCCACCGCTGCGTCCGCCAGCCTCAAGGCTTCCACGTTCGTGCAGCCTAAGATCAATGCCACCTCCCTCAAGGCTGCTCCCGTCTCGCAGGCTTTCGGCCTGAAGACTGCCTCCGCCAAGGTGTCATGCTCCGCGGAGGAGAATGTGCGCGGCTTCGTGCAGAAGTGCGCTGATGCCGGCAAGGCCGCTGCTCTTGCCCTCGCCTCCACTGCCCTGGTCGCCTCGGTAAGTCGGATGAGCATTGAAGGCTAAATTGTAGAAGCGCCAGAGCCCTTAGTTCCTGCATCAGACTCGAATTTTCAATTGGACTGGACTTTTCGTTTGAATCCGAGCGTAGACATCTTTGCCGCTGCTACAGTCGAGAGCTAGATTTTACTCAATTCGCCTTTCCTGCGTCCCTGCTTTTGTTTGTCTTTTTCTCATCCACCTTTCCTGCGTCCCTATTCTTCTTGTCGAACAGTCTGCCCAGGCCGCGGTTCCCAGGCTGACCTTCGACGAGCTCCAGAGCCTGACCTACTCCGAGGTGAAGGGCAGCGGCATCGCCAACCAGTGCCCCATCATCGCTGGCGGCGTTGACGGCTTCGCCTTCAAGTCCGGCAAGTACCAGGTCTCGAAGATGTGCTTGGAGCCCACTGGCTTCACCGTGAAGGCGGAGTCGCAGTTCAAGGGCCAGGGCGAGGACTTCCAGAAGACCAAGCTCATGACCCGCCTCACCTACACCCTGGATGAGATCGAGGGTCCCCTCGAGGTGAACGGAAACAACCTCAAGTTCACGGAGGTCGACGGAATTGACTACGCCGCCGTCACCGTCCAACTCGCGGGTGGTGAGAGGGTTCCGTTCCTGTTCACCATCAAGGAGCTTGTTGCCTCCGGCCCCGCTGACAGTTTCGGAGGGTCGTTCCTCGTGCCATCGTACCGTGGCGCCACCTTCCTTGACCCTAAGGGCCGCGGTGGTGCTCAGGGCTATGACACCGCTGTCGCTCTGCCCGCCGGTGGTTTCGGCGATGAGGACAAGCTGCAGAAGGAGAACCAGAAGAGCTACAAGTCCCTGAGCGGCAACATCCAGTTCAGCGTTGCCAAGTCGAATGTGGAGACCGGTGAGATCGGCGGTGTGTTCACGAGCGTGCAGCCGTCTGACACAGATATGGGTGCCAAGGTGCCCAAGGAGGTGAAGATTGAGGGCATCTGGTACGCCCAGCTTGACTAATTTTGCTTAGAGACCCGAGTTTATTTCCGCGTATTGTAAAACGTCTTGTAAATCAAAAGATGCATACACAGTTTTCCCGTACAATTGTTTCCTGCATAAATAGCAGAGCAGGCCCTGTGCTGGTTTTAGAGTAGTATGTCAAAGCCGCAGGAGACATTCTGGGTACAGAAATTGTTCACTCATCACCTATTAGCTCTAAACAGGTTGGCCGTGCAACTGCAAAACACTTAAAAAACTCTGGCTTCAAATTTGTGAACAAATCAGACAGGCCCGTTTCTCATCGACTGCAAAGCACTTGGTCAACTTGTGACCCTGGTTTTAACAAGCTGAAATGCGAGGGCCTGCAGTAACGTCTCGTACGGTACTACCAGCCACTACAGCAAGGTAGTCATCCAAGATCTAGCAAACGTGTGGCACGTTTACCACCGCTCTGACCCTCACAGTGCCATAGAGAGACTGAATAAGAATTGGTCCAATGAGAAATCTCTCGGATGAGTGTGCGATCCTATAAGAAGGAACCCAATTTCGACTGACCAGCAGGCCACATGTGTGTGACACAAGGAACATCAGTTATCTTAGGCTGCATGTCCACATGGCGAGGTGCTACAATCATCCAGGTGCGCCACCTCATGAGGCATGCAGATATGTGAAGAGCAGTATCCAAACGAGCTGCAAGGGGACAAGGGGGAATGGAGGTGTGGGAAGAGAGCACAGCAGAGCCTGTTCAGGTAGAGCTGGGTCTTTCCGGCTCTCAATAAGAGTGACAAGCTACGGAAAGGGTTTAGGGTGCCTGAGTTGAGCAGCATAGAGACGGATAAGACGAGACTGACCAGGAAGACGCCGAAGGAGTTGAGGAGGCCCTCCTGCAGCAGTGCCCCGTGGCCGCCCAGCTCCTCCGCATCCACCTTCACCACCAGCGTGTAGTACCCCATCATCACTGCCGTGCTCAGCACCAGGAAGCTGCCTCACCAGTGGGAGGAAGGGAATGAGAGAAAGAGACGATGGCATGTGAGGCATTTCATTCTCTCACCACGAGCGCGTCGTACCCGTCATCACCGCCGTGCTCAGCACCAGGAAGCTGCCTCACCGGTGGGAAAAAATGAAAGTCGGAAAGAGATGAACTTGCTGGGGTGTGATTGGAGAAATGGCAAGGCACTGGCTTGACATGGCATCTCCAGTTCGCACTTCTGACGTGCTTGCCTGATGGTTGGCACAGATTCAACCAATGTACACAATCTAACTGACAGAACGACCCCTCCCTGCCTACTACCCCACCACCCAAACGAACCCCAACATCCCTACCTCCACACACAGCCGCCACTGACCCGATGATGCCAATGCCGCCTGTGATGGGCGCAATGCCCCACAGCACGCCAAAGAGCACCGCGAGCACCTGGCGCATCCAGTACAGCACGTCCTTGAACGCATCCTGCCCAGGGGGCGAGCGCCAGTGGGAGGGGGTAGAGGCCAGCAACAGAAGGGTACAGAATTGAAGGACAAGAGGTGAACGAGGAAGGGAAGATTTTAGGTCAAATATATGCTGCTTTCGTAAAAAAAGACATTGGCTTCATACCAAGCACATTGTGGTGCGTTCTAATTCAAAGGGATCAGAACACCTGCCAATAATTCAGTGTAGCACCTCCCTAACTTCCATCCATCTCATACGCCATCCCTCTTGCCCACGTGGTACTTGACCTTCCCACCACTCATGTCATCCCACCATCCACGCCATCCACGTCATACCTGGTCCTCCGCAACATCTGGTTTTAATAGTGACGAGAGCAGACCCGATTGCGACTGCTTCTGTCGATGTGCGTGCAACGTGAGGGCGGGGGCACAAGGAGTGGGAGTGGGAGGCATGGGAGAACGTGAGGGAAGGAAACGAGGCATTGTAAATGAGTAGAGCAGATGTCAATAAGAGTGACGGGCGCGGGGGAAGGGCAAAGGAGAGTCCTAAAAAACCACAATTGCACTCCCCCCTCCCTTCACTTCATCGCGTCGCTCTGTTCCCCCGCTACCCGTGCACCAAGGCATCAGCTGTGCGACAACCTCACAATCGCACCATGCCAGCGACTGTGCGGCAACCCCACCGTCGCACCTTAGTCGCCATGGGGGCCGCTGCGCAAGCCCTCGAAGCTGAATCGGACCCCCTTGCTGTTCCTATTGATCACACACCACACGCGACGCTCCGTTGGGCAACAATCCCCTACGCGACGATTGCCTGAGCGACGATATCCCTAAACGACGGCCAGGCAGGCGCAAAGCTCCCGGCTGACCCCTTCTGGATCCACGACGAGAAAACGCTGTCTTCGCTCGTGAGCCGGAAAAACACGTCGCACACGGAAGGAAGACGAAGCTGCGAGGAACAAGCAAGGGTTGGGTGTGCGGGTTGGGTTGGGATGGGAGCACGCATGCGACAATCGCAGTGATGGAGGCCGGGATCACCACCACGGGATCACCACCACGGCAAGGCCCGCTCTCTTGTAATAACAAGCCAGCGCTGCAACGGGCACGGGCACTACATCAGAGATTGCTTGTAAAATCTCATCTGCTCGCTGCAGTAGCTGATTGCTTGCGACCTCGCTGTCCGTTTTCCCACGCAGCTTTCGTCGGTCAGCCCGAGTCGACCCAAATTACTCACTCGCAGGTTCTCCAACGGATCGCGACGCGTGAATGGCTTGGAGAGGACGAGGCTGACCAGGCAAGGAAGATGGAGAGCGAGGAAGATCGCACATGTGCCAGCGATGGAGAAACGGACCCCTGCGAGAAACTCCTGGGGCCAGGAAAGCCCCAATTCTCTGATCCAGAGCAGATTCGAAGTCGCTTCGACCGCGAGTATAGCACCGCGTCCCTCACTCCAAGCTGTTCTCCTTCGGAATGTGCCGAGCCCCAAATATCTAAAAAATTTCCTACTGGCCGGTTCTAAGTGTTCGGTACAGATTTGTATTACATGATACATGCACGCTGAACACGCCCTGAATCAGATTCTCTGCGAAGTCCTTGGGTGGTAACAGGAGTTAGGTGCCTCTATTTCCCTCCAATTCACAAAAGGTTTCGCAAGCTCTTGCAGACGAGGATATACGCGTTCTTGTGTTAGCGTGTTAAGACATCAGAGTAGAAACGCAGTGAAACCGTTTTCACAAGAGATGCTTGTGCAGAGCACTGGCATTTGGTAGTCCGTCTGTACGGTCAATCTGTGTTCCTGAGATTCCTCCAGCCCTGGACAGCCCAGCGACGCGCGCATGGCTCCCAAGGCTCGCAAAGGCGATGCCGCCGCGTCTGCAAACGGCGGCGGCGATGCGGGCGACGATCTAATGGCGTGGGTGGCGAAGAGTCGCAAGCTGGACGAGAAGCGGCGCGCGGAGAAGGAGAAGGCGGAGCGCATGGCGCGTATGCTCGCCGACCAGGTGCGACTCGCGTGCCTTCGCCGCTGCTTACCCTTGCGCGTTTTGTCTTAAATCGTGGCGCTTGTTCGTCGCATTACAAAAGCGTGACCGGCGTTTCCATGGATTGCCGTGGCGTGGCAAATGGAGTGATTTTATGTCACTCAGTTGTCTGCTGCTTGCCGCTTAGCTCGATTCTCCGCCGCGCGCAGTTTCTCGCCTTTTACCGATTCGCTTTGTATGAATGAAATATGTTGGTTCCATTTTGATCAAGTGTGCAACGTGTCTCCTTGACAAAGGCAATGAAGATTTTATTCCCCGCAGTGCCGTGCGTCTGTCTGTTGTGATCTTACCGCAGGACGACGCGGCTGCGGAGGAGGAGGAGGACGACGAGGAGGAGCAAGGAGGAGGGTGGCAGCGGTCATCGCGACCCGAGTACACCTCTCGTGAGCTCCCACTCGCACTCCCACTTCCACCCCACACCAACACTCCTCCCCCTCCCCCCTTCCTTCCCCTTCCCCCTTCCTTCCCCTTCCTCCGCTCCCACTTCCCTTCCTGCCGTGTGTACTGTGGCTCTGGAGTCGAGTCGACTTGCAAGCCCATCCGCACACACCTGTCATGCGTGCTTCCTCCTGCTGCCTCTTCCTCGCCCACCACCCACGTCGTGCCGTTGAACTCTCCTCCTTCCCCTCACTCTCCTCCCCCGTCCCAAACCCTCGCTCTGTCTCGTCCCATCGCCAACTACCTCACTCCCTCACCCATTCCCTCTCCTTCTCTCCCCCCGTTATCTCTCCTGTCCTGCCTCCTGCCGTACGCCCTTCCGCCCCAACCCCCCTGGTCCGTGGCGAGCGTGCAGGCGACCTGGCGGGGCTGAGGGTGCGGCACGGGGTGGGCGCAGTGCTGCAGGAGGGCGCGGCCGTGGTGCTCACGCTCAAGGACGCCTCCATCCTCGCGGGGGATGATGTCAATCAAGGTACTGCTGCGGGCAGGGCAGGGCACCCATGGGTGGCAGGAGAGCATCGAGCGTTGCTGCTTGCTGCCTCTCCACGTCGCCTCGTGCTGTCGTGTTCTTCTCCTTGCGCTCGCTCCTAACCATCTCCATTCCCTCCTTCACTCCATATCTCCTCCACCCTCCTCACGCACGTGTGGGGCATGACGTGTTGTGTGTGCTGGCGGGTGGCAGAGGAGGACGAGTTGGAGAACGTGGAGGTGGCGGAGCAGAGCCGGCGAGACAAGGCGTACCGCGCTGCTAAGAAGACCACCAGCATTTCCGACAAGTGAGTGAGGCTGGCAGTGGGTGCTGGCAAGTGAGGGGCAGTGCGCCGGAGCTGCTTGGGGGATTTGGGGGATTCGGATGAAATCCGTGCATGGAGTGCTGTAGAGAAAGAGACAAACAAGTCAAGTCAGAGGCACGTTTGAAAGGCCCGCCTCCTCCACCCCACTGCGGCCATCTCTCACCCTCCCTGAGTCTTCCCCCCTGTGGATCTCGCCCTCTCTTGCCCCCCCCGTGGGGAGCAGATTTGCGGAGGACGAGGGAGAGAAGAAGCCCATGCTGCCGCAGTACGACGACGGGCACGACGACGAGGTGAGCTGCACCAACAGTGAGCACTGGGGATGCGCTTTTGGAGTGGACGTGGCAGCGCTTGGTGGGTGCGTGCAAGCCATTGATGAGCAGAGTGTCCCCGAGCAAGGCTTGTATCGAGGCTGGTGCCATGAAATCCCCATGCGCTCATCCTTCCCTACCCCCTCCTACTCCCCCCTCTTTCCTACTTTTCCTTGTTCTTGCTGCTTCTGTTCTGCCCAACCTGTCGTGGCTGTGTTGTGGCCTGCGGCGTGGTGTGGTGTGGTGGGCGTGCGTGTGTGGCGGGCAGGGCATAGTGCTGGACGGGTCGGGCGGGCTGGATGAGGCCACTCGCTCGCGACTGGACCAGGTGAGGGCACGGGGGAGAGGCGAGGGGGAGAGGCGAGGGGGAGAGGCGAGGGGGAGAGGCGAGGGGAGAGGCGAGGGGAGAGGCGAGGGGAAGAGGCGAGGGGAGAGGCGAGGGGAGAGGCGAGGGGAGAGGCGAGGGGAGAGGCGAGGGGGAGAGGCGAGGGGAGAGGCGAGGGGGAGAGGCGAGGGGGAGAGGCGAGGGGAGAGGCAAGGGGGAGAGGCGAGGGGGAGAGGCGAGGGGGAGAGGCGAGGGGAGAGGCGAGGGGGAGAGGCGAGGGGGAGAGGCGAGGGGGAGAAGCGAGGGGGAGAGGCGAGGGGGAGAGGCGAGGGGGAGAGGCGAGGGGGAGAGGCGAGGGGGAGAGGCGAGGGGGAGAGGCGAGGGGGAGAGGCGAGGGGGCGAGGCGAGGCGAGGCGAGGGGGAGAGAGGCGGCGAGGAGGAGAGAGAGGGGATGAAAGGCGGGGCAGCAATGCACATGTGGATATCCCCATCCTTGTTACCCTCGCACTCTGCAAGACGCCGTGAAATAGACAATGCAATCCTGGTCCTCTCCTCTCTCGTCTCACTGTCTACTTGTTGCATCCGCCTGAAGAATAGTTCCGCTGCTCTGCTCCCTCCCCCTTGCTCTTCTCTTGGCCCCCCTCCTGCCTAGTCCGATTTCTTCTCTTCCCCCTCCCAGGATCCCCTTCATCACCATTCAACTTCCGCCCGTCCCCCCCACTGCACATTTCTCTCCCCCGATGCTTGTGCACGTGCGAACCTTGTCTCTTATTCTCACCTCTCCGCCACGTTTGGCCCACCTCTCCTCTCCCCACACCCTCCAACCACCCCCCCCCCCCCCCCCCCGCCAAGCTCCCCCCTCCCCAGGTGCGCAGCAGGCTGCAGGGCGCAGCCAGCGCGCTCCCCCCTGCCCCCCATGCGCTGGGCAGCACCACGTTCGGGGGAGGGGCGGATGGGACAAGCTTCGCCGCCCCAAAGGTGGCGAGCGACTTCCTGACGGCGGAGGAGATGGAGCAGCGGCGGGCGGCAGCACAGTTCCGAAAGCCAAAGCGGAAGAAGGAGAGCCGAAGGCGACGAGGGGGGGAGGAGGGGGGTGAGGAGGGGGAGGGTGGAGCAGGGGAGGGAGGAGGGGGTATGATCAAGAAGAAGAGGAAGAAGGAGAAATTGGATTTGGATAAGCTAGAGGCGCAGGCTCGGGCGGCAGGTTTAGGGAGAGGTTCGGATCTGGGGAGGAGGGACGGGGAGGGAGGGACGGGGGTGACGGCGAGGCGGAGGGAGGAGCAGGCAAGGGAGGAGAGGGGTGGGCGGGCGGCGTATGAGAGCGCCAAGGCCAAGGCGATGCAGGCCTCGATGGTGCTGAAGGGGGAGAGGGAAGGGGGCGCAGGGGAGGAGGGTGGAGTGGGTGGCAGGGAGGAGAGGGGGGTTGTGAAAGAGGAGATGGATGTGCATGGGCGCGTGGGGGGGACGGGTGGGTGGGAGGAAGGGGGTGGAGGGACAGTGGTGAAGAGGGAAGAGGAGGAGCAGGAGAAGGGCGAGGGCGAGGAGGCGGGACGGGAGGGGGAAGAGGAGGAGGAAGAGGTGGAGGAGGGGGAGGGGGATGACACGGTGGTGATAGGCGATGACGATGAGGACCTGCAGCGGTCGCTGCAGCGCACCCGACAGCTCGCCCTCAGGCGCCGGCAAGACGAGCTCGCCGCTGCTGCCAGGGCCGCTGCCGCTGCTGCTGGGGATGGGGGTGGGGATGGGGGTGACGTGGGGAAGGTGAAAGAGGAGGCGGACGTGGGAGCCGGGAGTGGTGCGGGCATTGCGGGGGTAAGCCCAGCAGTGAGGGGCGAGGCTCTGGTGCTGGCGCGGGTGAAGCAGGTGGGGCGGGTGAGGAGGCGGGGGGGGCGACGGGGAAGGGGAGGGCGTGGAGGGTGGGGAGGGAGAAGGCGCGGAGGGCGTGGGGCGCGGGCTTGTGTTCAGCGACACGGGGGAGTTCTGCCGCGGCTTGCAGCTGGATGATGGTGAGATGGCAGGATGATGGTGAGGTGGCAGGATGATGGTGAGGTGGCAGGATGATGGTGAGGTGGCAGGATGATGGTGAGGTGGCAGGATGATGGTGAGGTGGCAGGATGATGGTGAGGTGGCAGGATGATGGTGAGGTGGCAGGATGATGGTGAGGTGGCAGGATGATGGTGAGGTGGCAGGATGATGGTGAGGTGGCAGGATGATGGTGAGGTGGCAGGATGATGGTGAGGTGGCAGGATGATGGTGAGGTGGCAGGATGATGGTGAGGTGGCAGGATGATGGTGAGGTGGCAGGATGATGATGAGGTGGCAGGATGATGGTTAGGTGGCAGGATGATGGTGAGGTGGCAGGATGATGGTGAGGTGGCAGGATGATGGTGAGATGGCAGGATGATGGTGAGGTGGCAGGATGATGGTGAGGTGGCAGGATGATGGTGAGGTGGCAGGATGATGGTGAGGTGGCAGGATGATGGTGAGGTGGCAGGATGATGGTGAGGTGCAGGATGATGGTGAGGTGGCAGGATGATGGTGAGGTGGCAGGATGATGGTGAGGTGGCAGGATGATGGTGAGGTGGCAGGATGATGGTGAGGTGGCAGGATGATGGTGAGGTGGCAGGATGATGGTGAGGTGGCAGGATGATGGTGAGGTGGCAGGATGATGGTGAGGTGGCAGGATGATGGTGAGGTGGCAGGATGATGGTGAGGTGGCAGGATGATGGTGAGTGGCAGGATGATGGTGAGGTGGCAGGATGATGGTGAGGTGGCAGGATGATGGTGATGGTGGCAGGATGATGGTGAGGTGGCAGGATGATGGTGAGATGGCAGGATGATGGTGAGGTGGCAGGATGATGGTGAGGTGGCAGGATGATGGTGAGGTGGCAGGATGATGGTGAGGTGGCAGGATGATGGTGAGGTGGCAGGATGATGGTGAGGTGGCAGGATGATGGTGAGGTGGCAGGATGATGGTGAGGTGGCAGGATGATGGTGAGGTGGCAGGATGATGGTGAGGTGGCAGGATGATGGTGAGGTGGCAGGATGATGATGAGGTGGCAGGATGATGGTGAGGTGGCAGGATGATGGTGAGGTGGCAGGATGATGGTGAGGTGGCAGGATGATGGTGAGGTGGCAGGATGATGGTGAGGTGGCAGGATGATGGTGAGGTGGCAGGATGATGGTGAGGTGGCAGGATGATGGTGAGGTGGCAGGATGATGGTGAGGTGCAGGATGATGGTGAGGTTGCAGGATGATGGTGAGGTGGCAGGATGATGGTGAGGTTGCAGGATGATGGTGAGGTGGCAGGATGATGGTGAGGTTGCAGGATGATGGTGAGGTTGCAGGATGATGGTGAGGTGGCAGGATGATGGTGAGGTGGCAGGATGATGGTGAGGTGGCAGGATGATGGTGAGGTGGCAGGATGATGGTGAGGTGGCAGGATGATGGTGATGGTGGCAGGATGATGGTGAGGTGGCAGGATGATGGTGAGGTGGCAGGATGATGGTGAGGTGGCAGGATGATGGTGAGGTGGCAGGATGATGGTGAGGTGGCAGGATGATGGTGAGGTGCAGGATGATGGTGAGGTGGCAGGATGATGGTGAGGTGGCAGGATGATGGTGAGGTGGCAGGATGATGGTGAGGTGGCAGGATGATGGTGAGGTGGCAGGATGATGGTGAGGTGGCAGGATGATGGTGAGGTGGCAGGATGATGGTGAGGTGGCAGGATGATGGTGAGGTGGCAGGATGATGGTGAGGTGGCAGGATGATGGTGAGGTGGCAGGATGATGGTGAGGTGGCAGGATGATGGTGAGGTGGCAGGATGATGGTGAGGTGGCAGGATGATGGTGAGGTGGCAGGATGATGGTGAGGTGGCAGGATGATGGTGAGGTGCAGGATGATGGTGAGGTGGCAGGATGATGGTGAGGTGGCAGGATGATGGTGAGGTGGCAGGATGATGGTGAGGTGGCAGGATGATGGTGAGGTGGCAGGATGATGGTGAGGTGGCAGGATGATGGTGAGGTGGCAGGATGATGGTGAGGTGGCAGGATGATGATGAGGTGGCAGGATGATGGTGAGGTGGCAGGATGATGGTGAGGTGGCAGGATGATGGTGAGGTGGCAGGTTGATGGTGAGGTGGCAGGATGATGGTGAGGTGGCAGGATGATGGTGAGGTGGCAGGATGATGGTGAGGTGGCAGGATGATGGTGAGATGGCAGGATGATGGTGAGGTGGCAGGATGATGGTGAGGTGGCAGGATGATGGTGAGGTGGCAGGATGATGGTGAGGTTGCAGGATGATGGTGAGGTTGCAGGATGATGGTGAGGTTGCAGGATGATGGTGAGGTGGCAGGATGATGGTGAGGTGGCAGGATGATGGTGAGGTGGCAGGATGATGGTGAGGTGGCAGGATGATGGTGAGGTGGCAGGATGATGGTGAGGTGGCAGGATGATGGTGAGGTGGCAGGATGATGGTGAGGTGGCAGGATGATGGTGAGGTGGCAGGATGATGGTGAGGTGGCAGGATGATGGTGAGGTGGCAGGATGATGGTGAGGTGGCAGGATGATGGTGAGGTGGCAGGATGATGGTGAGGTGGCAGGATGATGGTGAGGTTGCAGGATGATGGTGAGGTTGCAGGATGATGGTGAGGTTGCAGGATGATGGTGAGGTTGCAGGATGATGGTGAGGTGGCAGGATGATGGTGAGGTGGCAGGATGATGGTGAGGTGGCAGGATGATGGTGAGGTGGCAGGATGATGGTGAGGTGGCAGGATGATGGTGAGGTGGCAGGATGATGGTGAGGTGGCAGGATGATGGTGAGGTGGCAGGATGATGGTGAGGTGGCAGGATGATGGTGAGGTGGCAGGATGATGGTGAGGTGGCAGGATGATGGTGAGGTTGCAGGATGATGGTGAGGTTGCAGGATGATGGTGAGGTTGCAGGATGATGGTGAGGTGGCAGGATGATGGTGAGGTGGCAGGATGATGGTGAGGTGGCAGGATGATGGTGAGGTGGCAGATGATGATGGTGAGGTGGTGCAGGGCATGATGATGTGAGGTGGCAGGATGATGGTGAGGTGGCAGGATGATGGTGAGGTGGCAGGATGATGGTGAGGTGGCAGGATGATGATGAGGTGGCAGGATGATGGTGAGGTGGCAGGATGATGGTGAGGTGGCAGGATGATGGTGAGGTGGCAGGATGATGGTGAGATGGCAGGATGATGGTGAGGTGGCAGGATGATGGTGAGGTGGCAGGATGATGGTGAGGTGGCAGGATGATGGTGAGGTGGCAGGATGATGGTGAGGTGGCAGGATGATGGTGAGGTGGCAGGATGATGGTGAGGTGGCAGGATGATGGTGAGGTGGCAGGATGATGGTGAGGTGGCAGGATGATGGTGAGGTGGCAGGATGATGGTGAGGTGGCAGGATGATGGTGAGGTGGCAGGATGATGGTGAGGTGGCAGGATGATGGTGAGGTGGCAGGATGATGATGAGGTGGCAGGATGATGGTGAGGTGGCAGGATGATGGTGAGGTGGCAGGATGATGGTGAGGTGGCAGGTTGATGGTGAGGTGGCAGGATGATGGTGAGGTGGCAGGATGATGGTGAGGTGGCAGGATGATGGTGAGGTGGCAGGATGATGGTGAGATGGCAGGATGATGGTGAGGTGGCAGGATGATGGTGAGGTGGCAGGATAATGGTGAGGTGGCAGGATGATGGTGAGGTGGCAGGATGATGGTGAGGTGGCAGGATGATGGTGAGGTGGCAGGATGATGGTGAGGTGGCAGGATGATGGTGAGGTGGCAGGATGATGGTGAGGTGGCAGGATGATGGTGAGGTGGCAGGATGATGGTGAGGTGGCAGGATGATGGTGAGGTGGCAGGATGATGGTGAGGTGGCAGGATGATGGTGAGGTGGCAGGATGATGGTGAGGTGGCAGGATGATGGTGAGGTGGCAGGATGATGGTGAGGTGGCAGGATGATGATGAGGTGGCAGGATGATGGTGAGGTGGCAGGATGATGGTGAGGTGGCAGGATGATGGTGAGGTGGCAGGTTGATGGTGAGGTGGCAGGATGATGGTGAGGTGGCAGGATGATGGTGAGGTGGCAGGATGATGGTGAGGTGGCAGGATGATGGTGAGATGGCAGGATGATGGTGAGGTGGCAGGATGATGGTGAGGTGGCAGGATAATGGTGAGGTGGCAGGATGATGGTGAGGTGGCAGGATGATGGTGAGGTGGCAGGATGATGGTGAGGTGGCAGGATGATGGTGAGGTGGCAGGATGATGGTGAGGTGGCAGGATGATGGTGAGGTGGCAGGATGATGGTGAGGTGGCAGGATGATGGTGAGGTGGCAGGATGATGGTGAGGTGGCAGGATGATGGTGAGGTGGCAGGATGATGGTGAGGTGGCAGGATGATTGTGGTTAAGTGGCAGCTAGAAAGCGTGTTTTTTTTAGAATCTGTTGTCCATTCTTGTCACGTACCCAGCTCTCTTTGCTATCCCCCTCTTGCTGGCCGGTTTCCCCTCTCCGCTGCGCTGCCAGGCAAGCATGGGTGTATGGTCGCAAGGCATGAGAGGAGTGGATGCGTGCAGGGGCATTGAATTCAGCCACCACAGCAGCACAACAGCAAGGAGGCAGTGCGCTGCCGGCTGCTTGCTGCATGTTCTCTGCGGACCCACCTTCTTGCTCGTCTCCTCTCTCGTCTCCTTGCCTGCTCCCTGCAGCGCTGGTGAAGCGAGTGAATGCAAGGGAAGCTGCTGCCGCCGCCAAGGAGGAACTGGCTGCCGCCGCTGCTGCCCTCCCTGTCCCGCCCTCCTCCTCCTCTGCTGCTGCTGCTGGCACCGGGAGTGCAGACGGGGGTGGGTGGATGGAGGTGAAGCGGGACGGGCAGGGCGACGAGGAGATGGGCGATGCAGAGGAGGGCGCGGAGGTTGGAGGCGAGGGCAAAGGGGCAGGCCAAGGAGCGGAGAAGGGGGAAGAGGCGGGGGCGGGTGAGGGGGAGG